TAAAGCTATGATTTTTCAAACATTGTAAGTTTGCCGTTACACATTTTACCGGATACATCGTGTTCGGAGTGTTAAGGAATAGTTAGCAATTAATAAGAAGCAATGTAAGAAATCATCTGCACTTCTACAAGAAATCACTGGGATATTGAATAAAAAGGTCGGGTTTGCAGCAGGGTTTGTTTGGCAAACGGTACGGTGAATTAAAGTGATGGGTTCATGTTAAGAAAGCAAGTCACTAACGAATCTTTAATATGAAAGGATCTGAGATTAAACTCATGATGTTCTGGTCAGTAAGCAAAAACAGTCGCTCTAAGGCCCCTCATATCACATCACACAACTTTTCATCGAGTTGTTGTATCCACTCAAGTCCGGCCCCAAAGACGACGACGACAAGTTTCACAAAACACACGATGAGCAATCAATGTTGGTCAGTTCCAGTCATACCGATATCGTCGAAGACGAGCATGTGAGACCGTTCTACTGCACATACCGAGCAATAGTACCGTTCCACTGCACACCATCCCTCCTAATCGCACCTATAAGAACATAATCGAATAGTAAGTTCGAAAGCGCATCGCCCTGCTTCAACCCGTCTAAGGTTACGTATGAGATAGAAATCTCATCATTCTCAGTAGCTTGATATTCGCAAAGTGGTATTTAAATATTTTCATTCCATAGTATCCAGTTTGGAAAATTGTTTTCCCAGAAACAATTAATGGAATTTGCAGCAATGATACAATCCAACCAGTTGCAGGCAATCGTCTATTCAGCTCGCAATTCAATTTCACTTTCCGCGTAATACCTGTGCTCGCGTAGGTGATAATAATCAAAATTGGATCTTGATTCATCTCCGCTGTAGGCGGTATGGATGAGGTTGAGAAGGGTAGTATAGGCGACCGACCATAACAGCCCACACACTGCTGCTCGTTGTTGAATCATCCCGACAAAATTATATCAGTTAGGTATAGGTACATATACAGACACTGCTCCGTATGGATGATAAAACCAGCAATGATAGGATTTCCCTGTGCTGGCGGCAATACCCGCCAGTGCCTACCTGCTATCAAATAACTGGAAGAACAATATCCACACGCTCGTTTACACTCCAATTTGTCCGTACAGAGTTGCCCCAAATGATTGCTTTAATCAAACAGAACTGAGTAAGAGGGTACTACGTTTTGGGAAAGTGTCCGAGGCTGGATAAAAGACTTCATTCAATTCCCAGATGAAGAGCACACATGATCTGTTGATACGGATTGCATCACACCAAGCGCTGTCGGAATCTACTGTGACGACACAACACGGTAAAGCCAGTGCTTCTCCATGGGGAAGATAACAGGTAGACGTTTACTACTGTTGATTGTGTTGCATGTAGCAGCACAACGGTAAGCGCCGTGGCGTCGGTGTAAATTTACAAACTCACACAGTGAGTAGAGGTGTCTGCGGTCGGCTGCTGGGTTTGTCGTCATCAACCGGCTGTCTGAATGTTTAGGAGCTGGTGGTGTTGGTGAAGAATAGTTCTCATGGGTGCTTAGCGGCAGAAATTTCAGGGTTGCTAGGGTGAGATGAAATGAAGTTGAATGTTTTGGAACTTTTGCTGAACTGTTTGAGAAAATTTGATTGATTCGATTAATTTTCTCAGTAAATCTATAATCAGTTTCCATTGTAAGCTCCCTTTAGCTTTCCTGTCGAGATGTTGTTTAACTAGAAATATTTAAAAACATTCATCCAATTTTCCAATTCATAATTTTGAGTCGTTCAAGAATCGTTCTAAGCAAAAATTTTAGATTCCTTAACCAAAAACTGCACTTCAGATTTTGTTTAGTTGTTAAGGCCGAATTCTTCACCTTTGCTTAAATCTTAAACCAAGTTTACCCATATATATATATATATATATATATATATATATATATATATATATATATATTTTTTTTTTTCGGTTTGGGCCTCCCTTAGCTCAGTCGATAAAGGCGCAGCTATAAAGCAAAGAACACTAAGTTGAGAGCCGATGTAAAGTCCCAGTAGGAACATAATAAAGCCAAAGAAGAAGAAAGATTCTGGAATAATGGGTCATTCGAGGTAAAAAACATAAGAAATAATTAACTATTCAGAGTAATGGACCATTCGGAATAATGGCATTCAATACAGTAATGACGATTTAGTTAGCCCTTCCGCGCATCAGACTTTCATTTTTCAATAAGTTCACATAACCGTATTTCCAAATTTGTCTCATTCATTTTCAAGATGGATGTTTAAGATATACTTTAATTTAATAAGACCACTGTTAAAGCGGATAGGTTTTGCTGAACTTTAGGAAAGATTTTCAAAAAGGGGCCTAAATATGTTTAGTAAACATATTATATTATTATTACTTTGTTTATGGGGCAACTTAACAACCCCCTGCTCCTCATAGCACTTTTGATTCGTATTGAGGTCATCTAAAGCTGTGCCCAATATAAACGAATTTGGTTACGATCTGGATTTGCGGAAGAGCTTTAAATGTGTATGGGAAACGGACCAAAACTGTTCAATTGCATGTTAAAAATTAAAATATCGCTCAATTTTTACCAAATCTGGAACATAGATTGAGAAAACTATACAAAACAACTTTGTCGAAGACAACAAATCGATTCGACTTTTGTACAAAAAGTTATTATTTTTATTTATGCCCTTCGAGCATACCTATTGGCGTGCATATAAGCTAGTAGATATGCGTGGAACACTAAGCCAACAGTAGAAAAAATAATAACTTTTTGTTCTGTACAGTTTTCTTAATCTAAGTCCCTGGCTTGGGAAAAATTTAACGATTTTTGAAATTTTGACACTTAAATGAATAGCTTTGTTCCGTTTTCCATACAAACTTGAGATCGTAGCCGAATTCTTCCAAATTTGGCACAATTGCTGGGAGCCTCAATACTAATCTGATCCACCATATAAGCTTGACCCACCCTATTGTTTATATGTCCGAAACCCAATTTAATAAATTTAGCCTGAATTCCAAATCATTGGGTATTTTAACAGGCTCATGAGGTAAAGATGGCAAAATTGATCACATTAATTCAACCATGTTATATGCCAATTATTTTCAATAATAACTATAACATGTCTGTTTTAAATGAATGTAATTATCATAACTAGCAAGAATCAATATTTGGTAGAATTTAATTCTTTATTCTTGGGGTAAGACTTGCGATGAAGAAATATACACTTACCATATTATTTATTAGAATAGGAGGTACGGTAATAAATTTGAATGAACGTTATTATAAAAAATTCCAGGTTATTACATCAAAATAGATATACTCAACTAGCCATGCTAAATGTGATTCACATGTTGAAGAAAAATAAGTGGAAATCGTAAATTTTGCTAAACGTACTTATGCGAAACGTCTTCATTTCATTTAAGGACAAGATCGACGGAATCCTTCCATCACGTGTTTTTGGGGTTACTAATTTGAACATCCAGACGTCTTGAAGATCTGAAAATTAAACTCGAAGTAGTAAACACTCAGCTTAAACGGGCTATAAGTGGCAAACACTCAGATGCGCTTTAAACTTTGTACATTAACGGGAAGCATTTTTGTCTAGTATTTTTTTTGATTTTTCTTAAAATGTTGGAAAAAGGTATCAACAATCTAAGAAGATCAGATTTATGTACAGTAAGTACAGATTTATGCCAACATAGGAAATGTACATTCTATTTAGAATTGGAGATAGAAAAAGATTTTAACTTCTCGATCACCAGATGTAGCAATATGGATTCTGTCAACCGTTAAATATCTTCATGTCGCCGGGCTTGAACAATCGTCAGTCCTAGTGGGGAGTTCAGTGGTCTAGTGGCGACTATTTTTACATACTGAGCAGAAGATCGTGGGTTCAATCTCAGTCTCCTTCACATTAACGAGTTCACTACTCACAGCTTTTTCTCATAGGATTATGTTTCCTTCTATTTCTAAACTATTAGTGGTGTGATATGGGCTCGGTGGCCAAATGGCGACGGTTTTTGGCTAGCATAGCAGAAGATTTGGCTTCAGCACTAAGCTCCTTGATAGAGGCGTTAATGATGTATTGCGTTCTTTTTTTAACATCAACAACAATTTTATCCAACATCCTAATGAGAAAGTGCTGAGGATTTCTCGGTTTCCAACAAAACGAGTATCACGTCGACACATTTCTACTCATTTTCTAATTGTGTTACCTTTGGAGGCTGCTGGCGTTAAGTTAGAGATCATCAGTTTACTACGCTATGTTGACATACAACTAAATTGACCAAGGGCGATTTTACCCGAATGCTGCTCTGCCGCTCATGGCAAGTCCGTCCCATAGCACAAATCAGCAAGCCGTGAAAAACTCACTTTAAGGTTGCATCGCACCATTGCTTCTTATGTAATAGGACAACTCGTTTGGCTGTTTTTCCAACCTTTTCCAGAACAAAGTTGTTGAGTTCATTCAATATTATGAAAATATTAGTGATTAGCTACAATTGAAAAAAAAAAATCGGTTTTGACAAAAAGGCAAATGGGACAGATTTGCGATAAGCGGCAGTGCTACGGATTTCAACTGTTCAACAGATTTGTAAAGGTTTCTTTGACCATCGCAGTTCTCAATTTTAAATACCTACTAGCTAGAAACTCAATAACAAATCTTTTACAACCAGTCTCTTTCAGCTCAATTTCCGTACGTCTTCATTAGAACATGAACTGCGTTTGAACGTCTGAAACGCAATTGTTTAAAAAAAAGGGCAATCGTAGGATGATTTGAAAATGTGTTTTAGGTTCGCAATGTTTTGCGCAATTTATTCATGCTTATCGCAGGGCTTGTGAAACGATTCTGGAATCCGTATGTGTCTACTCCGTAATAATTAAATTACCCTCAGATCTCTGCAATCAATCTCTTATCGTTTCCGCGAATCATCAAACGTCGACCATACCTACGGCAACCCTGTCACCATGTCTAGTCGAAAAAATCTCAATAACACTCTCTCTTTCTCTCTATTCAAGTGCCTCCAGCACCAGGCCAGCGGTAGATGCCGCGCCAGAACTGAGAGGACGAAGAGCAATACCAAAGAGAACCCTCGACGGGCGGAACAACCGATGGCGCGGGATTGTAACGATCACCACACAAGCATCATCAGCTGAGCATCCAGCCGCAAGTATCCCGAAACAAGCGAGCGCCAGCCAGCCACAGTACTTGCGCACATGTCGTGTTGAGAAGGCGGTATTTTACCGAACGCTCTCGCAGAAAAAGCAGAAGTGAGTGAATACACAACAACACAGGGAAGCGAAATCTCGCATCCGGTGGAAATTGACAAATCCGTGACCACCTACGTGACCTACAACAACGAAATTGATAAAGAAGAATAATCAGATTGCATCGTGTTGCCCGGATTAATTAGGCTATAAAATTGCACTGATTTCCGGTGATAAGACAAGTGTCCGTGGCTGTGGTGATTATACTGATATCAATTCTTAGCCCAGCGGTACGAAAGCGCGTTTTCGAGTGAACCTATATAAAAGAAGCACACTGAATCTTGTGAGATAGGCAGAAAAATGATCGATAATATGGAATCGAAGATAACGTTCGAAATACCGAACCACCTGGATTTCGATAGATTTATTCGGGGAAACAACTACTCTTCGTTTTGGCACAATCTACACCAGCAGCAGCAGGAAGCTGCGGCCAGAGCCATGGGAATGGGATCTCTTGGAACGGCCAGTGCATCACTGATGGGAGATTACAACTCCAGCGATCTCAACCTGTTGAATAGTTTGCAGAATTTCGCTAGCCGCGGTGGACCGGTAGGGTTCGCTGCTGACGGAAGCGAACAGCTGCTGGATCCCACCTACGAGCGATTCATCGGAGACGTATGGGTGGGCATCGTGCTGACACTGATGATCCTATCATCCGTTTTCTGCATGTGTTCCTGCTTCCTGTATCACAAGTTTCGACAGTGGCAACGAAGTGGTAAGTAGGTTTTTGGATTTTTCACTGTTTGTCTTCCGTGTTATCGTCGATATCTTTTGGTCGTGAATCAGTTATTATAGGCTGGATTGGCTGTTGACCGAGGTGCGGAATGATGTCGTCGTTTCCCAAAGTAATCTAATTAGTGCTAATGCTATCAATCCAAGTTGTATTATCGCTTTCACAATGGCGCTTTTGTGAGAAAAATTTCATATTGAAACTGAAATTTAATGAAACATAACATTGCTCGGAGGACGAACGAAAGCAACAGGTGTAACTTGAATAATAAACACTAAACAATAAACAATAAATGTCTAGCATATTTAGCATTATACAACAAGTTTATTGATTTAACGGTTTATTAATAGGTCAGAATTATCTCTGATCAATAGTAAATTTTTACCTGGGTTGTCATACATTGCAGACATAATAGTTGCTCATTACAAAACACACCGTACATACTAAAAAACATTCTTCCCATAATTCAATCTCCCTGCTCTGCCATATCGATTCGATACCAACCTATATGGGAATGGAAAACCAGTTCCAATCAAGCATAAACAATTTCGTATTGAAGAACTTCCGCATGTGTGCCGGACGACGACTCGCATAGCGAATGACTGCTTGTGCTGTTTGTCGTTTGTGATATTGTTCTTATTATTATTATTATTGCTATCATCATTATCGGATGGCGTTGATCGCGTCTTAGCGAACCTGAAAGTCCGCAACTTGAGCGCACACACGCTCTTTCTCTCCATCTCGGAAGGAGGTCCAATTGACCTTGACTCTACCGGCTGGTGGTTGAGTCTTCACGTTCTCGTCATCGTTGTATAGAGGAACGTGTGAAGCACGTACAAAGCTGTGTGACCGATCGATTCTCCGAGATCGATGGGAATATTCAACGTGTATGCAAAAGCAGGCGAGTGTTCTTATGTCTTCCTATAGCCTAGGCTAATCGGCAATTATCGATCTACCGGTTATGATGAAGGAGTAGTAGCTGTTTGCTTCTTGTTTCAGTTATCGATCGCTTGCCTAGGTATGCAGTAAGTAGAATGCTATAGGTGGGGTTAATGGTCGAGCTTTTGTCTACTTGTGTGAGTGTTTGTATTCTTTGTTTATTTAAGACCAATGCGCTAGGTTGACTTACATAGCGTCGGTGCATTTAGTGGTGCAATTTCAGTTTGATTTGGAATTTTGGTACCACCTTCTATTAGCATGTAGTTAATTAGTTTTTCAAGATTTGATATTTAGATAGACAAACTGGTTATTGTCTGGTTATAAATATCGAGAAAATAGTTCCAAAATCAAACAAAATGTAAAAAATAGTCGTTGATTGATAAAACCTGATATAATACCTGGAGTCCATTGGAGTTGCTCACCTTAATGCAATCCTCTGATTCTATTCCGATGTCTTCTGGTTCAGTTTTCTCATATATTTATTTTAGAATATTTGAAGTTTCTGCAAGTCTGGGATTTCACTAACCGCAGGATATCGCTGATTTGTTTAGTATGATGTCTCAATAATTATCTCAACAATTTTTCAAGGAAATTTCTCTGAACCAAGAAATCTAGAATATTTATCTGCGATGTCTCATTTTTTTAAAGTTCACTAAAACCTTGATTATTTTTATTTTGCATACTCTGGATTTTGTTTTTTTTTCTATGTCTGAATCATCATGATAATGATCTTGCAACTCTTTTCAGGGTTTCTTTACTTTTTTCTCGAATTTCATAAGAATCATTTAGGCACTCATCTTCAGAGTTCAATTCCCCATGCCTTGAAATTTTCTTGAAAGTCTCTTCAGAACTCTTTTAGAATACTTCTTAGAACTCCATTGCAATTAACCTCTGAATTTCCATCAAACTGTCATCAGTTTTTTCTTTGAATTCTCCTAGAAATTCTCATAGATTTCTTGCTGCCTTCGAAATCGCCATAACACGTTCTCCTCACTATTATCTCCCCATTAGAATTCTCTTCTTATAATTTATGTGAAATTCTCCTCATAATCACCTTTGAATTACCCTTATTATTTTCTAGATATTCACCCTATCCGTGAAATATCGGGCCTATTAGACGTAAATATTAGTAAAATTTCTCATGCAACAACATTGAATTAACGGCTCGCAAAGCTCTCGTGACTAAACCTTTCAAATAAACGAATTGAGTTAATAAATATTGATATTCACCCAACATTCACATGGAGTTACGTTTCCTTTTGAATTCGGCTCATAATTCCCTTGGAATGTTTCCATAAATACCTTGAAATTTTATTCAGAATTACCTTGCAATTAACCTTGGAATACTCTCCGAATATGGGAAATTTTTTCCTCAGAATTACTTATTTTAAATTCTCCTTGAAACTTCATTTGAATTCTTTGCTGAATTCCTTCCTTAAAATTCACATGAAGTTCCTCTCACAAGTTCTCCTTTGGAGTTCACCTAAGAAATACCTTGAAATTCTAGCCAAAACCCTCTTCGGATTTTCCTTAGCTTCACCTGGAATCGTTTAACCGGAATTAAGTCTGAAAAAGAAAGTACACACAAATCTAATATCAATTGAAAAACGAACAAGAAATGCTGATAAAACATCAGTTGCAGAAAAAGCGTTGTCTTCAAAGTTTTGAGATTTTTTTTAATTGAACGGCTATCTATTTTCCAACAAAGGGTGATGCATTTATTATGTCAAGCTCTCAGGGGGTGGGGGAGGGGTAGTTTAAGATTATGTGACAAGTAATGCAATAGGTATTGGAAGGACGAGACGAAAGGGGGAAATCTCAATTTAGCGTGAAATAATTAAGGCATGGCCCCCAACTTTATCTCAGACGTCATTTTGATAAAACGTTACGTTTTCTATGGTTTATTTGAAATATCGAATACGCCATTTTGAAAATCAAAAAGTCAAAATAGCAGAATTTTAGCACAAATTTGAATGATTGTCCATGGCAAACAATCATACAAAGTTTCAAGGAAATCGGTGAAAGTAAAATCTGATCTGATCAGGTGCATTATAAGTGTTGCTAGAATCAACCTAGGCATAGGATGCCAATGTAGTTTATTTTGAGTCCGCTTCTCTCTTACTCCAGATCCTCACCTACCTTAGAAGCAAAGCTTAGCCTGAACTCTCTATTGGAATAATCATCAGAAGTCCCTACAGCGTTTGTTCAGAGTTCCCTCAGAATCCCGAGAAACAAAATAAATTTTCCTCAAAATTCTTCTAGGATTTTCATCAAAATTCTCTTGAAAAATCTACGATACACTAGAAAGCTGAATTTTTCTCCAAATCTAAGAGGTTTGAAAACATTCCAAGGTTCATAATCTTCATCTTGTATAAAGTACAGTTTTCTGGAGTGTTTATGTTCATTCCAAAATATTGGAAAAGTCATGCATTGGTGTTGACATATTCTGTACTAGTGCATCTAGAACACTAAGTTGATGTATTTTTATTTTAAAAATTGAAGCTAAACGATAACGTATAATGCTTCTATAATATGAACACCCATGGGACTAAGCCTACACTGAGGCAAATAAACATAAGAATTTCATAAGGCTCAACTTATTAACGACACATATGGATTTCTTAAGAAAAAACTTACGAATGATTGTCATGAGGTAGGTCTTATACGCCTTTAACAATTTCATTTTCCCAAGCGTTGAAAGACGAGTGGTCAACACACAGACCCCGTAATCTCAACGTCCATGGTTCGGTTCCAGTCTGCTTCGTTTTATTTTGTTTTCTCAATATTATTTTTCATAAGGCAAATCGATGAAATTCATACCGATTCCTTTTGTCGAAATTTCATAAGTGGTTCTTATGGAATTCAGCCCTTCCTTTGCCTCAGTGTAAGATCTTCTGCTCGATAAACAAAAATGGCCACCAAGAGGCCACCGTGCCCCTCATATCACATTACACCACTTATGATCGAGTTATTGTTGTTAAAATGCAGTCCTGGCGACGCACTAATGTATGGGAATGCCAGAAGAACATCAAATCTGGACGTTTTAGTCATTTTACCCATACGTGCAATCCAACAATGTATTACATTCAATGTTAGCAGCAATTGTGATGTATTTAAAAGTTTACCAATACTTTTTTACATAGCATGAGGTAGATGCCAAACATTCCTGTGTAGTCAGAATAGCTGAATTAAAATACCTAACACTCGATTTTTGTTTATAGATCAACAGTGCGAAGGTCACGAAACGCTAAATTGAAGTGATGAGTTAAAGAAAGAAAGCGATGTGACACAAGCAACTATAGAAGCCTGGGATTAATCCCACCTTATTCTGCTCAATAAGCAAAAACGTAGCCATTTGGCCACCGAGTCCCTCATATCACAACACATCACTTATGATTTAAAAGGCATAACCTTTCAAACCCGGTGATGGAGTCGACTATCATGGAACGGTATTGAAGAACTCATTCACATGCTGTGCCTTCCTTGGAAGAATTCTACCACGATTTTCACGCATCACTACTAATCGAATTATAATACCTTAGCAATTTTTTGTGATACATTGGACCGTTGTCCGTTGACCGAATGCTTATGGTTTAAAAAGTTCAATTACATGCTACGACTCATGTGATGATATGATATGATTTTGAGCAGTGCTTAGTCAAATTAATGATTTTGAATGGTCCTGCAGTCAGATGTCTTAAAGGACGTGATCAATAAGCTCTAGTATGTGGATTAATGAATGCTGCTGTTTTGAAATCAAGTACAGTCATCATTCGTTGTTTGGTACACAAAGTCATTTTGTCTACCGAGTGCCATTATTCGATAGTATGGCGCTACCAAACTGTACCTTTCTCATGCAAAGCAAATCTCTGTGTAGACAATTTCCAATGATCAAAAAAAATGGTTGGATTGTCTAGGTAAACTTTTCAATACTGTCAAACCGTAAAAAATGAAAACTAAACATTTATACCTTGTTGCAAGCTACTGTCGATACTATTGACCTACTAGGGCCTACTTGGTTTTCTCATTGGCGACGCATAATGAAT